ACCTCAGCGAACGTACCTCAATCAGATTGAGGACGTTTTTAGCAAAGGCCAGCTTAGGAGTACCCTAATTAAGTTAATAACAATGTACCTAACTATATAGTTTAAGTTTAAAAAATTTGGCTCTCAAAAGAAATTTCAATCGTTGTACTGTTGATATTTGGCTCTGTTGACTAATGAGTGTGCCGACCACTGGTCTTTGGGAATAATCGCTAGGCCTGGTGGCCTGGCCACTTTACTTTCCTTCCTGCCAATCACTTGGCTAAAATGGGATATAAATGGTGCCACTCATCACCCTTCCTCCCTTTTCCCTCCCTCCTTCTTGCTGTCTGAAGAGGGCTGCTCACTGCATTCAGAGCTCAGCCATGTGCAGAGTGGGGAGGGCCTGTCTCCCCCCGAGCCCAGGCCTTATCAGTATCTGCCTCTGAGCCAGCTCTTAGGCCAGTGATGGCGAACCTTTTGAGCTCAACGTGTCAGCATTTTGAAAAACCCTAACTTAACTCTGGTGCCGTGTCACATATAGAAATTTTTTGATATTTGCAACCATAGTAAAACAAAGACTTATATTTTTGATATTTATTTTATATATTTAAATGCCATTTAACAAAGAAAAATCAACCAAAAAATGAGTTCGTGTGTCACCTCTGACACGCGTGTCATAGGTTCGCTATCACTGTCTTAGGGGCTACTAGTGTGTCATTTACAAAATGACTGCATTGCCCACAGGAGAAGATAATTGCAAGTGACAAATGCCCACTCTGACAGGCAGCTTTTTCTGGGGCAGGCAGGCCTGCTACTGTGCCTCTTGCATGGATGCAGATGTGGTGTGAATGAGTGGGGAGGGGTTGGAACACACAGTCTGGGATTGAATGGGGAGGATGTCAAAAGGAGTGTGTGTGTGTGTGTGTGTGTGTGTGTGTGTGTGTGTGTGAGAGAGAGAGAGAGAGAGAGAGAGAGAGAGAGAGAGAGAGGAGAGTTTGGGAAGGATTCTAATCTACTAGCTCATCCTATTTCCAAATCCTTTTTGGGCATCAGACACAGCTGTAAATATGGACAGGATCAGGGTCTGGGCTGCTTTGGGATGTTGCTTCTTTCCATTTATTCTTTTCATGGGGCCTGGGGATCATGGAACTACTTCCTTTCTTTAACCACTTCCTCCAGGAGCTGAGTAAGAAGAAAATGAATGGTCAGTGCTGACCACGATCACCAGGGAATGAGAAAGTGGGAAAATACTGACCTAACTGGGGCTAGAGGAGAATCTGGGTGACCAAACAGGTCACCAACTAGGTCACGGCTGCCTTACACATTTTCAAAGTAAGCTTTTCCCCATGCCAGGGGTAGCATATCGCAGTGCTGCTCTGCTCCCTGGCTTCTTTGTTCACTTTACAGTGTATCTTGTAGACTCGTCTATATGAGCACATAGAGAGAGGTCCATTTTTTAATGAGAGTATATAAAATTTCATTTTATGGATTTACTATCATTTATTTATACAATCAGCTTCCTATATATGAATATTTAGACACATGTTTCTCAAACTTTACAGTGCATACGAATCATCTAGTGATGTTGACACGCAGCTTCTGACTCAGGAGATGCAGGGCGGGGCCTGAATTCTGCATTTTTGGCAAGCTGCTGGGGTTGCTTCTGGTCCATTGACCACCCTTTGAGTAGAGAGGATTCAGACTCTGCCATATTTTGCCCTTATAAACAATGCTGCGGTAAATATTTTTGTAGGTGCCCTTTATAAAGTGCAATTCTATCTGTGGGATAAATGTCTAGAAGTGGAATTTCCAGGCCAAAAGATGTATGTGCCCTGGTAATTTGATAGATATGGCAAACTGCCCTTCCTATGATGTCCACCCTGCCAGCATTGTATAGAAGAGCTTGCCCCTCACCCCTCACCAATAGGGAGCATTACCAAACAAATGTGTCCATGTTTACTTAATATTTTTAGTTTTTACTTTATGAAGTTAGACTTTACATTATTAGTGCACAGATATTTGTGGCTGTTAGAACTTTGTGGTGAATTGTACCCTCTACATAAGGTGTGATTTTGTTCTGTCTAATACGTTTGCCTGTATCCTGACTTCAGATCTGCATGTGCCGGGTGTACCTTTGCCCATGCTTACCTTTATTGTCCTGCAAATTTTTATCTAGAGTTTTTCAAACTTAAAGTTAATTTCTCAGTTAGTTCACTTGCATTTGCATATTTAAAGTCACATATTATATAAAATCTTAATTTAGACGTGGAGTTTCTTCCACCCTCATTATTTCATGAAATAATTTTGTTTACACTCTTCACATGCATTTTCAAGATTACGGTTTTCTCCTCCATCATTAGAGGTAATGTTCTGAGTCATTTATCCCAATTTTCCCAAGCGCATTATCTTCACCTCCTTCTAAAAGTTATGATACCGCAAGTTTTGTATTCATGTGTGCTAATGCCATTGCGAAAGCTCTCCCAAGCTGTGAGTCCTTGCTCATTACGTTGTTTTATCCATTTGTCTTGTAGCTGTCTATGAGCTCCTCAATGGAGCTACTTACAGTGTTGCTTTTTCCCTTCCATTAAGTGTATGTTTTCATGAGCAACACATTGGAATAGATTCAAGTAGCAAGCATTCTATGAGGCTTATATTTTTAAAGTATTGAAAGAAAAAGTCCTCAGTCCTCTCCAGCCACAGCTTTTGCACTCAGAGAAGGCAACCACTTTGAATCCTTGTAGCTTTTCTGGCATTTTCCCTATATTTATAAATAACACGTTCATCGTTATTTTCTAATGTTTTAAAGTTTTAGACACTATCTATTGACCTCCTACAATGAAAAATGTGAATTTAGCTCTTTCACTCTGCTCTTCACTGTTTTCTCCTAATATAGTTATATTACAAGTTTTGGGGGGCTAAATAAATATTCAATGTTTATACTATTGTGATTATATAAATATTATTTAGAGTTGAGCCATGTGGTTAATCATAGTTAAGTTTCCTTTCTGCACAAATTTCTATTATTTCTAAAGTCACTGACTTTCTTTTTGTTTTGTTTAGCCTTTTCTCTATTTCTCATTAATTTATCCCCAACTCTCTGACAGACGCATCATTCTCGTCTCGGTATGTTCAAAACTTCAGGAAGAGATCCTCCTGGAGGCCCCTGGCTTCTTGCTGCAATCTCAATGGGTCACCATCTTAGCCTGTTGCCCAGAAAGTCATCTGGGCGCTCCCTTCACCATCCCTGGGAACCCCCTGGGCTCCCTGCCGTGCTGTGTCCCCCTGTCCTCTGGCTTTCTCTTTGTTCACTCTCATTGCGGTGGAGCCACCTTCCATTAGCTTTCAGAGGAAAGGTTCATGGAGGGTCAAACTTTGGAGGATTTTCACCTCAGAAAATGTTATCCTATTTGCATGGCTGATTGAGAGTTGGCTAGATAGGGAATACTGGGTTTGATATAATTTTCCCTTTGAATTTGAAGACCCATTGTCTCCTAGCTTCAAGTGTTGCTGAGAAATGGTTCTGATACCGGATCCTTTGGATGTGACCCCGACTCCCCTGGCCCCTTCCTGCCAGTCCATCACTTGTCTGGATGCTTCACCTCTTTACACCTAGTATTCT